GACTTAGGCGCCGCGCAAGGAGGCCGAGCGCCTGAACTTCAGGCAGGGAGGGGGGGTGTAGGGTTTATGGGTTATGGGTTATGGGTTTAGGGTTTAGGGTTTAGTTAGGGTTTAGGGTTTAGGGTTTACGACTAGAGGATTTAGGGCTTAGGGGGAAGATGTCGGGTTCAGGGTTTAGGCGGCTTGCGTTCAGCTTTAAGGGCTAACCTACTACGAAGTATACTCATAATGCGCGCACACGTTCTGACATGAACATGCCCCAAAAAACGGTTTAGGGCTTAGGGCTTAGGGTTTAGGGTTTAGGGTTAGGGTTTAGGGTTTAGGGTTTAGGGTTTAGGGTTTAGGGTTTAGGGTTTAGGGTTTAGGGTTTAGGGTTTAGGGTTTAGGGTTTAGGGTTTAGGGTTTAGGGTTTAGGGTTTAGGGTTTGGTTTTAGATGTTGGTGAGGATCTGGCTTTTTAGTGGGCTGGGGGCGGGGGGGGGGGGGGGGGGGGGGGGCGCTCCTGTCTGCAGGGTGGGTGTCGCAGTGCAGGGTTTAGGGTTCAGGTTGAATAAGGGCCGAGGAGGTTGAGGGTTTGGGCCGCCTGCGGTTGATGGTTGAGGGCCTCTACAGTCTAATGGGGCTTGCTCAGACGGATCTTAGGGTTGAGGGTTTCGGGCATTTTCTTGTGCAGGGCCTGAGGGCTTCTTAGGGGAAGCTAGTGTGCGTGAGGTCGTCCGTCGGAAAACAAAGTCAACCCTACTTAGCCGACACAAAGAATCCCTTCCATTGGGGGGGTGTCCGAAAATAGGGGTACCCTTGTTGGGCGTTCCTAGAAGAAGGATTACAGCATTTTGGGGCATATAAGGGGCTGCTCGTACCTCGATTATTTTGGGAAATTTGCCCAAAGAAGCCCGCTGGAGCGCCCTAAGTGCTGAGGGCAGCGCTCCAACCAGGCTGATGCGCACCACAGACACCCGCCTGAGCCGCGTGATTACCCCTTAGCCCTGTTGGGAACAAAAAACCCCCGAAACCCTTAAACCTAAACCTTAAACCCCTCCAGCCTCCAACCTTAACCCCCGAACCCCAGGAAACTGAAAATGTGGGAGGCAAAATTTGGGTTGGTTGATACAGCGAGGTTGCTCCCCCCGTTCCTGCCCCCACACATATGTGAGACGGAGCCGAATTACCTGGAGGACCTTGCCTTCCCAACCTCGAAACCCGTGAAACCCGATTTCCGGCCAACAGCGGCAAGCCTGTGTAGTTCAGGTTTCACGGTGTGTGCAGCAGCAAACCCTAAAACCCAAACCCCACACCCTAAACTCCAAACTCTAAACCCCAAATCCAAATCGTTTTTTTTTGTTTTTTTGGGGGGGAGGTGTCCTACTATGTAGGGAACTGTTTTTGCGTCTGAACCCTAAACCCTCAACCCTCAACCCCAAACCCTCTTTGCGAAACAGCATGGACAGCGCCCTGGCCTGGGCTGCACGCTGCTTGCTGGCCGTGCGGTGAGCATGGCCTTGCGAACGGCCTGGCACATGAAATCAAGGGCTTTCGGCTTTCGGTTTAGGGTTTAGGGTTTAGGGTTTAGGGTTTAGGGCTTAGGGCCCATGAACCTATGTAGTGCCTTGGGGGACCAAAGGAATGATCCCGAAAACAGGCTTAAGGTTCTTATACCTTCATAGGAGTTGTAGTCGTATAGGGTATAATTTTGGGTTCACTGGACCCCAAGGTATCAACTCTCTTTTGTGTTCGGTTATTGTTCTCTTCGTTACTATACATATATATATATATTTTTATACACATACATGCACATGTTCATATATGTTTAAATAAACACACACCCTAAAAGTCCCCTCTCTGCAGCTCCAATACCCTGTCTGGTGGCTTCCACTACTACTGAACCCCAAAAGAGTCGGGCTCAGGGCTGAAGAGAGCCCGAGACAGCCCCCAAAACCCAAAAAGAGCCCAAACCTGAAACTCTCGGCCTGAGTGCTTACAGGGCCTTGAGTCCGGACCTCAACCCTACACCCTCAACCTAAACCCTGTACACGTAAACCATCGCAAGCCCGAAACCCTAAACTTGTTTGCAGACAGGCGGCCTGGTAGAGCTCATTCATGCGCGGTGCGGCTGCCTCCGTGTCTTGCTGAGGAAACTTTCTGGGAAGATGCGGTTTTTAGGGTTTGGGGTTTAGGGTTCTGGGCTTTTTTGCCCTCAAACTGACCTTGGCGACATGATTGAACCGGGGTTGGGGATTCATATACCACTAGTAGATCAGAGTAGTATGCTCAACCCTAGACCACAAACCTCATATACACCAAGCCCAACGCCCCAAACCCAAAACCCCAAAAACCTAAGCCCACAACTCAAAACCCCAAACCCAAAACCCCATAACCCTGAACCCTCTAACCGTAAAACCTAAAGCCCTATAACCCTAAACCCAACCCAAAACCCTAACCCCCGAGTCCGCAGTGCCCTGTAACCTACTGTTGGTTAGCAGGGAATGAGGGAATGAGGGAGGTACCCTATATATATATATATATACCCTTTAAGGGATTATATAGGGAATATAGGGTACCTCATTCCCTGATTCCCTACCAACAGCCCCCCTAAACCCTAAACCCCTGAACCCTGAACCCTAAACCCCCTTCCCTACCCTACCAACAGTAAGGTAAACCTGCCTCCATCACTGGCGTCCAGGGACTCTCCATGGCCGTACTCAGCCGCTGCACCGGCTGCGAACTGGGGCGGTTTAGGGTTTAGGGTTTAGGGTTTATAAGGGGTTAGGGTTTAGGGAGGGTATAGGGTCTGGGTTTAGATGAGTCTATATGAGGGGTCCCTCATCCTGCTCGTAGACTCAACCCCTAAACGCCAAACCCTAAACCCTCAACCCCAACCCCTACCCCTAAACCGTAAAACCGCACGAAACATGGCGCCTCTCGAAGCGGCGAAACCGACGCTGGGCCTTGTCAGGGGTTGCTGGGGTTGATTTGGGTGGTTCGGGTTAGGTCAGGGCGGTTCAGGTTAGGGTTCAGGGTTCAGGGTCTTAAGCCCCGCAACCCAAAACCCTAAACCCCAAACCCCAAACCCTAAACCCTAAACCCTAAACCCTAAACCCTAAACCCTAAACCCTGAGGTTCAGGGCTTCCGGAAATAGGGGGTACCCGTTTAGGGGTACCCTTTACTAAGGATTATGCTATTGCGGGGCACGTGTAAGCTTTCACGAGAAATACTCTTGTCTGCATCACATGTGTCCACAGCATCAGGATGTCCTTCCCTATTCGACTGTGCGCGAATGTGCTCCGCAGCCTCCTTTTGCAATGAGGTGTCACCATCTGTAGGCTGCTTGCATAGTGCGACCGTTTGGTCCCCAAGGCCCCAGGGCTGGATAGCTCTTGCACTGCAGAGATAGAGAGAGAAAGAGAGAGAAAGAGAGAGGGAGAGAGAGAGAGAGAGTGAGTGAGAGAGTGAGAGAGGGAGAGAGACAGAGGGGGGGAGAGAGAGGGGGGGAGAGAGAGAGAGAGACTTCGGCCCCCTATGATGATATAAGAAACTAGGGTTCAGGGTTTACAGTAAGGCTTCGGGTTCTAGGGTTTTAGGGTGTCAGGGTTTTGGGGCTTTTAGGGGTTTAGGGTTGTCGGTTTTAGGGTTTTGGGTTTCGCAACTGCCATACAACCTAGCGATGGTGTTTTCATGTTTGGGGCTGCGGTCTATGGCTATCATCACCGAAAGACTGCGCTGACGTCCGGGACAGCTCAAGGAATGCTTGACCAGCTCTCTAGATCGTCGCCCCGCTTGGGATACCGTGCATGTTGGCAGACAGGGCGCGAACTAGAATCGGCACCCAAGAAGGGGGACACCAGCTTAGAGAACCCTAAACCCTAAACCCTAAACCCGAAACCCTAAAGCCTAAACCCTAAGCCCAACCTCCTGGCCACCCAAGCCTAGACCCGAAGCCTTACAACCACAGCCCCAAAACCCAAAACCCCAAACCCCTGTAGTCTTCAGAGGGGGTTCTTGGGGATCAAATGAAGACCAAAAGGGTTTCTGGGTCATATACCTTAATAAGAAGTATCCTAGTATAGGGCATTTTAGGGTTCACGTGGTCACCCGGGAACCCTAAACCCTGAACCCTGAACCCTAACCCTAAGCCCTAAGCCCTAGACCCTAAGCCCTAAACCCTAAACCTTAAACCTAAACCCTAAACCCTAAGCCCTTAACCCTAAACCCTAAACCCTGGCAGGCAGGCCTTCTCCAGCTCTCCCAGGCTTTCGATTTCATTCACAAACTTGGCAGCGCTGACCATGTCTGGGGGTGCGATGACTCCTGATGGGGTGCTAGGGTTTAGGGTTTAGGGGTTTAGGGGTTGAGGGGTTGAGGGGTTTAGGGGTTGAGGGGTTGAGGGGTTTAGGGGTTTAGGGATCTTTGGCTTCGGAGGGTTTCATGAAGGCTTGCGCCCTTTGGGGTCCTAGGGTTTTAGTTTTAGGGGTTCACTACTCCTTGAGTGCATTAGGGCCCCGGGTTTAGGCTTCTGTTTCAGACTCTTGAACCCTAACCCTCCCCTTAAAATCCTGAGGCGTTTAGGGTTTTGGGCTTAGGGTTCTCAAGACAGGGCTCGCAGCGTCTAGGAAGGAGGACCAGGTCTGCATTCTACCTTTAGGACCATTGATCAGGGTCTGCAGAGTAAGGGGTTGATTCTGCTGAAATGGCGCTCTGTGTGCCAAAATCTCTGCATCTGACTCTTGCTGTCAACATATGCTCTTCTGGTGCTAAACCCTAAACCCCAAACCCGAAACCCTAAACCCTAAACCCTAAACCCCCTAAACCCTAAGTCCATCCTGCAGAACAACCCCCCCCCCCCCCCTCCAAGTGAAACTTCGGGCGTGATGTTACGCTCCACCTCAACCCTAAACCCTAAACCCTAAACCCTAAACCCTAAACCCTAAACCCTAAACCCTAAACCCTAAACCGGAATTAAACCCTAAAGCCTTCACCCTTCACCCTTAACCCGTCCTGTTGACTCATCCGCGCCCTGCTTCAGCAACCTCTGGATGGCACAAGGGAGATCCGCAGGTTAAGGGTTTAGGGTTTAGGGTTTAGGGTTTGGGGTTTCGGGTTTAGGGTTTAGGGTTTGGGGTTTAGGGTTTAGGGTTTAGGCACCAGACCTAGACCCGGGAGTGACCTAGGAATAAAAAGGGTACCCTTTTTGGTTTTGAGGGGATTGTCAGGGAGCCCCAACCCAAAAAAAAAAAAGGAAACAAGGGCCTAACCCTAAACCCTAAACCCTAAACCCTAAACCCTAAACCCTAAACCCTAAACCCTAAACCCGGTCCTAGAGACTCTAAGCTGGAAACCTCAGTACGGCGGCGACACCCCAAACTCTACCTAAAAATCCTAATACTCCAAAAACCCTACAAACCCTAAGCCTAAACCCCTACAAAACCCTCTAAACCCCATAAACCCTGTAAACCCTATAAACCCAATAAACCCAAAAACCCTGTGAACACCAAGAACCCTGAACCTTAAACCTTAAACCCCTAAGCGAAGAAGGTACCTGATGAGCTGCGGTTTAGGGGTCATCGGCTTCCCTGTAGCCCCGATAATGGCATAATGGGGGTCTGAGGTCCATGTCCCCTAAACCCTGACTGAATGAACCTTTAGGGTTTAGGGGTAGGGTTTAGGGTTCAGGGTATAGGTTTCCAAAGTCAGGTTTGGGGTTCCGAGGTACGCAGACTCCATAGTATGGGGACTATCAGGAATGACTTTGTCGCACGGCTGAACCCAACCCCCCCGCATCCTGCACATAAGCCTACACCCATACATAATTCTGCCCAAATGCCCCTAAATATTAAAGGCCCAATTAAACAGACAGAGTCTTTGCCAGGCTATTTCAGGTATCTTATGAAGGGCACTTTCCCTGGGAGGGGAAGGGGAAGGGTGAACGGGTCTAGGTAAAACTTGAACCTGAACAAAGTTAGAGCGCATGCGCCGTAAAGCGGAATGGTAGATAATCTGAATTTCAAGGCAGCTTCTACGATTCCCTAAACTTCCTCAACCCTATAAGCCCTTAACATCCTAAACTCTAAGCCCTAAACCCTAAACCCCATAACCCTAAAACCCTAAACTATAATCCTCTCTATAACCCTAAACCCTAAACTATAATCCAAAAACTCTATAACCCTAAACCCTAAACTCCAGGACCTAAACCCCCTAAATTTAAGGCCCCGAGCCAGCTGCGGGCTGAGTCGCTCTGCAAGTTGCGTGGCGAACTCGGGGAGCTGGTCGTAAGTAGCCAACTCCTCTTGCCAAGGAGGTTAGGGTTTAGGGTTTAGGGATTAGGGTTTCGGGTTTAGGGTTTCGGGTTTAGGGTTTGAGGGTTTAGGGTTTGAGGGTTGGAGGGTTGAGGGTTCAGGGTTTGGTCCATGGGTGGTTGCCAGATTCAGGCTTACAAGGGCTTGAAGGGCTTCGGGGTACAGCTTAGGAGTCTTCGGGTACAGAGCTTAGGGGATTCTGGTTTAGGGGATTTAGGGTTGTGGTTTTTTGGGTTTAGGGATTCAAAAGGTTGAAAGCATAAAGCGCCCAATTCCTCTTGCCAAGGGTTTTTGATTCAGGTTTAGGGGTCAGGATTCAGGGACTTACAGTTGCTTTAAAGATATTGGGCTGTAGTGTCGTCTAGCCCGACCAAGTTTACCTGAACCCTAAACCCTGAGCGGCTTCTCAGTCTCTTATAAGGGAACCTAAACCTAAACCCCACCCCCCCGCCCCCCCCAACCCCCCCCCCCCCCCCAAAAAAAAAAAATGGAAAAACAAGGAGGTTGCGGTTCCAGGCCACAGAGCAATACAAACGGAATGTCTCAGGGGCTTATCTGAACCCCTTCAAGAGTACTCGTAGGAATGACTCACAGCCCCAACAACTCTGGAGCGTAGATCGGTACATGAAATAACAGGCTGCAACTTCGGGGTAGACCTGGGACCGATTTACGAACCCCCAATTTAGCAGGGATAGCCCTACTTAAGACTGTAGGCAGCTAGCATCCCAGTGAATTCTGTACACAGGTCTCAGGTAGGGCAGCGCTTTTATAAGTGCACGATTTCAGCATGGGCGTCGCGAGCAGCCAGCATCAGCGCCGTGACGCCACGATCGTCTAAGTTCTTGCCTTGCTCCACCAGCAGGCGGGCAACTTGCACATGGTCCGCGTGCATCAGGGCCGTGCGCCCTTCGTTGTCGGGCTTGTCCTTGGGGACCCCAATGAGCCTTAAAAGGGTTTAGGGTTGAGGGTTGGGGGTTCATATTGCCTTATAATAGGAGCTGTAGTAACACAGGGTCTATGACCCCCTTCCTTGGGTTTATTTCCTCCCCAAGGTTGTCCTTGTCGGCACCTGCCTCCACCAGAAACCGCACGGCTTCGACATGGCCGTGGCGAGATGCGAACATCAGGGCTGTGCGGCCATGGTTGTCGCACGCATCCTTGTTTGCGCCGGCCACCACCAGCAGATGCATGATCCTTGCCTTGGTAGCCCAGTAACCATCTTGTATGAAGGATAACTTGTTTTTTTGGTTGCTTCTGTTATAGTACATGAACCCCCGACAAAAGAAGAAGAAACAAAAAGGACCACTGGGCTGCACCAAGTTGCAAAGCCACCGCGGGCTGCGAGCAGGAGGGCCTTCCTTGGCTACCAGATGAAATTCACCCTAAACCCTAAACCCTAGCCCTCAGCCCTAAACCCTAGCCCTAAACCCTAAACCCTAAACCCTTTTAGGGTTCATAATTCGTCCCCAAGGTTCTCGACCTTCTCCTGTTCAGCGCCCGCCTCCAAGAGCAAGCGCACGGTTTCCAGATTGCCCTGCTCAGATGCGAACCTAGGATGGCCCAAGCCCTCTGAAACAAATATTACCGGGTTTAGGGTTTAGGGTTTAGGGTTTAGGGTTTAGGGTTTAGGGTTTAGGGTTTAGGGTTTAGGGCTACTAGGATGGCCCTTGAAAACCCTCTGAAAACATATTCCTATACAGGCTACACATATGATCCTCTGAAAACCGCCAAAAAAGGGTGGAAATATGTAAAATATCCCAAGGGCCTACCTAGGAGCATCAGGGCTGTGTGGCCATAGTTGTCACACAACGCCTTGTTAGCACCGGCCTGCACCAGCAAACGCACCACTTGCACCTTACTGTTGGTTGGTAGGGAATGAGGGGATGAGATACCCTATATCCCGCTATATACAACCTTCAAGGGATTATATAGGCCCCCATATATATATATACCGTTTAAGGGATTATATAGGGTACCTCATTCCCTCATTCCCTACGAAGTCACTTGGCCACCGTGTGCTGCCAGCATCAGTGCTGCGCGGCCATGGGTGTCGACCAACTCCTTATTGGGGACGAAGTATGAGCCCTAAGAGGGTTTATGGTTCATCTGACCTTTATAGGAATCAGAGAGTAGTATAGGGCACATACTAACCCTAAAAGGGTTCATGGTTCATACTACCTTATTAGGAATGACTAGAAGTGTAGGGTGTATCCCCAATTCTAGGGTTCGTTTGGCCCCCAAGGTTCCTTGTCGGCTTTGGCCTCCACCAGCAAACGCGCGACTCCAACGTGGCCGTTCAGAGCTGTGATCATCAGGGCTGTCCAGCCTTGGGCACCAAAATACTACGATCATTCCTATTAAGGTATATAAATTATATAAACCACTACGAATAATTCTATTAAGGTATATAAACCACCACTACAATTCCTATTAAAGTCATATAAACCCAGAAACCCTTCTAGGGTTCATGATTCGTCCCCAAGGAGCCTTTGCTGTTGAGGGCCTTGCTCTTTTCGGCCCCCGCCTCCACCAGCAAACGCACGATGTCAACGTGGCCCTCGCGGGCTGCGAGCATCAACGCGGTGACGCCCAAGTCTTTGTCAGCCCCGGCCTCCACCAGCAAGCGCACTACTTCAAGATGGCCCTTTACAGCGGCGCGCATGAGGGCCGTGCGGCCTTCGTTGTTGGTCTTGTCCATGCCGGCTCCGGCCTCCACGAGCAAACGTACGGTGTCGGCATGGCCCTGATCACATGCGAACATCAGGGCTGTGTGGCCACGGTTGTCGCGCAACTCTTTGTTTGCGCCGGCCTCCACCAGCAACTGCGTGAGTTCAGCATAGCCGCCGTAAGCTGCCATCATCAGGGCTACGCGGCCCGCCTGGTCGGCCAAGTCCCTATCGGCACCCGCCTCCACCAGCAAACGCGCGACTCCAATGTGGCCGGCACGACATGCCCCGGCAAGTGGCGTCTCACCAGTTCCCGTGGCCACATTGGGATCCACGGGGAGCTGAAGCAAGGACTCGACCTGAAAAGTTGCCAATGGTCAGGGAATAAATGGGGTTTCCGAAATTAGGGGTACCTTAGTGACCTTAGTGGGGTCTTTTTTGAAAGGGAATCCTACTATTTGGGGGTCCCCTATATGCGTACACACCCAAATAACTGTTCAGTCGGCTCTCCCCAAAAAACTTGTCCGAACTGCTGTGTCATCTTAAGGAAACTCCCGCTTAGTTCACTGAGCCATCTTTTTACCCCTAAACCCTAAACCCTAAACCCTAAACCCCAAACCCTAAACCCCAAACCCTAAACCCTAAACCCTAAACCCCAAACCCTAAACCCTAAACCCTCCCGCCTGGTTCACGGAGCCATCTTTGGCAGCAGCTACGAGCTCGGCCACTTGCGCCGGCAAAGGGCTGTAGAAAGAAAGGAGAACCTTAAGGGTTTAGGGTTTAGGGTTTAGGGTTTAGGGTTTACAAATGATGAACCCCAAAAGTGGGGGGTCATACACCCTAGACTACTATCATCCCTACTCAGGAAATATGGGTCATACACCCTGTACTTCTATAATCCCGATTAAGGTCATATGGGTCAGACACCCTAGACTACTATCATCCCTATTAAGGTCATATGGGTCATACACCCTATACTACATCATCCCTATACTAAGGTCATGTGGACCATAAACCCCTTTAGGGTCCGTACTTCGTCCCCAAGGAACGAGGTCCAGCTCCTGGGCCAAGTTGATTTCGTCGGCATCATCCAATTTCTGCTTGGAGCTCTGAAGGAGGAGCCTCACAGCCCAGCAACCACGTGTTATCAACAAGGGCAACCCTTCTTTTTGGGCTGGTTCCCTTTCTAAGGGAACCTTGAACCAAACCCAACAAAAAAGTAAGAAGGGTACCATTGGGCGACCAAGGGAGCCTCTGCCTGAAGCGCGGAGGCAGGCCATGCAACTGGTGCAGCCGCTGCTTCAATTCCCGCACGGTGCCCACCTCTTCCACGGGCACGGTGGTCAACTCTTCGCCCGACATCATGCGGATTTGCAACATCCCTACAAAGCCTAAACCCTAAACCCTAAACCCTAAACCCTAAACCCTAAACCCTAAACCCTAAACCCTAAACAATGACCTGACACCCTAAACCCTACTGGTCAGACGCAGGGGTTGACGAGTCTCACAAATGAAACCCTCGGACTCCTGGGCGCTCTGAGCCATATGTGAGGCACAGTTCGGGCTTCAAGCCCTCTGAATCCCTGCGCCCGCCTAAGCCCTGAACCTTATAACCCCAAAAATGTGAGAGCTTACGAAAGGTGGCAGAATCGAAATTCAGACCCCTTAAGAAGAGCCCTTCATGGGGGGGGGGGCATGTTAACGGCTACTTGAGACTGCCCTAAGAACGTAAACCCGTTCAGGGGGCTCATTGGTCCCCAAGGCGGGCCCTACCATAACCCCTAGAAACCCTAAACCCTGAACCCTAAACCCCAAACCCCACACCCTAAAACCTAAAACCTAACCCCTGAGCCCCATCCCTCAAGCCCTCAGGGGCCGAGGTGCCCCAAGGTCAGTTTGCAGAATCCTAGCTAGCCCACATATTTCGGCGGCGGGACTCAAGGGCCCTTGTCGCTGAATGGACTTGCGGGTTAGGTTTTAGGATGAAACGAACCCCTTGCAAAACAGGGGTCGATATAAGAGCCTTCCAGTAACCCTAAACCCTAAACCCTAAACCCTAATCCCTAAACCCTACATCCCCCCCCCCTGGCAAATCGTTCCAGTACACCCCGAAGACGACGCAAGGTCTCCAGAAGCGCGGCGCGATCCGGCATGGCGAAGTACCTTGGAGCGGATAGGTTTTAAGGCTTGTGGGGGGTTTAGGGTTTAGGGTTTAGGGTTTAGGGTTTAGGGTTTAGGGTTTAGGGTTTAGGGTTTAGGGTTTAGGTTTAGGTTTAGGGTTGTCCAGTAGGGACTCCAATTAATTAGCCCACAGTGCGCACACGAAAGCTTCGTGTGTCCAGCTTGCATCCTTCGGGAAGGAATGCGGCGCAACAGTAGCTACCCTAAACCCAAAACCCTAAATACGGGCCCCTGTCAACCCTGAAGCCTAAAACCCTAAACCCTGAACCCTGAACCCTAAACCCTAAACCCTAAACCCCAAACCCTAATCCTGTATGTATGCCCCTGAGACGCATGACCAGAGTAAGCCCAGGGAGCTCTGCCACCTCTATAGCCACAAACCCTACGAGCCTACGCGTTTAGGGTTTAGGGTTGAGGGTTTGGGGTTTAGGGTTTAGGGTTTGGGGTTTAGGGTGTAGCCGGTGACATAATAACCCTTAACCCAACACCCTGCAACCCCAATGTCAACAAGTAAATGCTGTGTAAACCCCTAAACCCCTAACAAGACCCTACCAACCCCCAACCCCGCTGAACCCTAAACCCCTGAACGCCTAAACCCCTAAACCCCTGAACCCCTGAACCCCTAAACCCCTAAACCCCTAAACCCCTAAACCCCTAAACCCCCAAGCCCCTAAGCCCCTAAACCCTAAGCCCCTGAACCCTGAACCCTGAACCCTGAACCCTGAACCCTGAACCCCGAACCCTGAACCCTGAACCGTGAACCCTGAACCCTAAACCCTAAACCCTAAACCCTAAACCTAAACCCTAAACCCTACCGGGTTAAACCTCCGAGTTGCAGCGTGTCGCCGGCCCGTAAAGCTGGCTCTCCTGGGAAAGCCGGGGGTTAGGGCTAGGGTTTAGGGTTTAGGGTTTAGGGTTTAGGGTTTAGGGTTTAGGGTTTAGGGTTTAGGGTTTAGGGTTTAGGGTTCAGCATCTCAAGTCCAAGGATTCACTAGTCAAGCATTTACTCCAGGAAAATACCCACCCGCCCAAAGAATCCCACAACATTAAGAAAACATGTTACTTATAGAACGACCTTGCCCATGCCCAGTAAAACGGCGACCTTGCCCAGTAAAGCAGCGACCTTGCCCAGTAAAACGGCGACCTTGCCCAGTAAAACGGCGACCTTCGGGCACACCCCCTGCCCAGTAAAAATGCTACCTTCGGCCCCGAAGGTCGCCGATTTACTGGGCAAGGTCGCCGTTTTACTGGGCAAGGTCGTTTTTGGTCAAAAAATCGACCTTGCCCAGTAAAACGGCGACCTTCGGGGTCCAAGGTCGCATTTTTACTGGGCAGGGGGGCAAGGTCGCCGTTTTACTGGGCAAGGTCGCCATTTTACTGGGCAAGGTCGCCGTTTTACAGGGCAAGGTCGACTTTTTTGACCCAACTGACCTTGCCCAGTAAAACGGCGACCTTGCCCAGTAAAACGGCGACCTTGCCCAGTAAAACGGCGACCTTGCCCAGTAACTCCTTAACATTTAAATTGCATATGAAAGAGAGGTCTAGGGAAAGAGAGGTCTAGGGTTAAGGGTTCAGGGTTCAGGGTTAGGGTTTAGGGTTTAGGGTTTAGGGATAGGGTTTAGGGTTTAGGGTTTAGGGTTTAGGGTTTAGGGTTTAGGGTTTAGGGTTTAGGGTTTAGGGTTTAGGGTTTAGGGTTTAGGGTTTAGGGTTTAGGGTTTTGGGGCTTCAGCAAGAGGGATTTATGGTTTCTTTAGGAGTTTCGAGATTACAGGGCTTAGGGACTTTTTCCGGGTTTTGGGGCTTAAAAAGGGTTTTTAAGGGTTTAGGAGTTTAGAGATTATAAGCCCGGCTTAGTAAAGAGGCTTGGGGTCTGGGAGTTTTGGGGTTTAGGAGTTTAGAGATTACAGGGCTTCGGGGTTTGGGAGTTTCGGGGTTTAGGGTTTAGAAGTTCAGGGATGTAGGGCTCATAGGGGCTTAGGTCTACGGGTGCAGGGTTAAGGATTTGATTTCGGACTTGATTTGCTGTCGTTGGAGTTTACGATGGTTTATGTCTATGTTGCTGGCTGTAGGATGCCTAGGGCTTGTATAGGGTTGAAACGATTCGGTTTTGTCGAGTGGTGCGGGGCTTGTGACTAATTGCGGATGCTGTTCTTGATGCGTAGGGTTTAGGGTTGGGTTTAGGGTTTTTAGGTTCAGGGTTTAGGGAAGATCGTCTGAATGTCCGGTGATGTATGCCCTCAAGATACATATGCATATATGTGCACATATACAGATGTATGTCTATACTCTTTTATCTTGCAGTTGATTGGAGGCACACATGCGCAGATGCGTGTATCCATCTTAGAGGCTATATCATGACGAATATGTGATCACACCAGCTGGGAGCTGTTTACAAGAAGATGGGACAAATAGGGTAGGTTTGAGGGTCCCATAAGAAATAGGTCTACGAAAATTAGGGACCCCTCATAAGGTCCCCCAAATAGTAGGAATCCCTCGTACTAGGTACCCCTAACTTCGGAAAACCGAAATATGAACCCTGAACCCTGAACCCTGAACCCTAAACCCTAAACCCTAAACGGAACCGTGCATCCGAGCATCCAGTCGCCTGATCGAACAGGGGCTCGCCGGATTCGCGCTTGCCTCGGGCCGCAGGAAGGCTCCCTGAACCTCCCAAACCCCCCAAACCCCGGCAAACCCCGCCAAACCCCCCCAAACCTCCTCAAAACCCCCCCGAACCCCCCCAAAAGGTATCTAGAATAAGGGTTCTGGGTTTAGGTATGGCTTAGGTTTGGGGCTTGGTGTTTCGGGTTAACCCCAAAGTGCATGGGTGTAAAGGTCATTGATATGGGTCATGCGGACGTTTAGGCTGCACTGCCCACTCACGATCAGCACAACCCTCAAATTACGCCACGCGAGTCTTGCCACAGCCCTGCACACGGGACCCTGGAAAAGGTTTTCGCTCCACCCAAAAAAACAAGCCAAGAACAACAACCCTGAACCCTATTCCCTGAACCCTAACCCTAAACCCTAAACCCGAAACCCTAAACCCTGGATGCATGCACTTTTGAAGGGCCCGCTGAAGCTTGCCCTGCACCCTATCAAAATACTCTTCTGTAGACTATCACTGAAAAGTTTCGTAGGATTCTGAACTCGATCCCTCAATCGCCTAAACCCGAAGCCCTGGACCCTAAGCTCTAAACCCTATATCCTAAACCCTAAACTCTGAACCCTGAACCCTAAACCCCAAGCCCTAAACCCTGAGCTCACGTTGTGCAACCTGGCTTGGATTTGAAGTCACGTCGCGCCCTTCAAGCAACCCTTCAATATAAAACTTCCTTGTTTGGGTTTGGTACAGGGTTTAGGGTTTAGGGTTTGGGGTTTAAGGTTTATAGGGTTTCGGGAATCGGGTTTAGGCCTCAGACACCCTGTACTACTCTACTCCCTGTGACCCCCGCCACCTTGTTACAAACCTTTGTGCAGGCCCCTTGTCGCGCCAGCTTTGTTTCAAACCTTTGTCGCGTGGCATTCTAGCAACCGCCCCTTGTCGCAAGCCTTGTCGCGCAAGGTTTGTCGCGCCGTGAGCGCTCGGGGGCCTGTTACAAGTCTAGCGTTTTGGGCCGTTCCCATATAAAAAATCATGTACGTGCACATTTGTTGTTGATTTGCCTAAACCCGTCCTACAAGGAGGAGCACGCTTTGCTATTCTAACTACAGATAAGACTTATCACCCAAGTTAGGATCCTTATAACCGAATTTTGTGTGCTTGTATCTCTCTGCCCTAAACCCTAAACCCTAAACCCTAAACCCTAAACCCTAAACCCTAAACCCCCCGCGTTGCCTCAAGCAAAAGGCCGCGCCTGCCACGAGCCGGTGGCCCTCCAGCGCTGGAGGGCCGCTCGTGACGAAGAAGGAGGCCCACCTCAGAGAGGGTCTCTAGGGGGTTTAGGGTTTAGGGTTTAGGGTTTAGGGTTTAGGGTTTAGGGTTTAGGGTTTAGGGTTTAGGGTGAGGAGGTTTGGGGTTTGGGGCATAGCGAGTTTAGGGTGCAGGGCGGAGGGTAGGTGTAGGGCGGAGGGTGTAGGGTTTGGGGGGTTTGGGGGGTTTAGGGGGTTTGAGGGGTTTGGGGGGTTTAGGGGGTTTAGGGGGTATGGGGGGTTTGGGGGGTTTAGGGGGTTTAGGGGGGTTAGGGTTTAGGGGGTGTAGGGTTTAGGGTTTCGGGGCTTAGGGTTTACGGTGGAAGAGGTTTAGGGTGGGGGGGGGGGGGTGGGTGAGAGGGGTTTAGGGTGTAGGGTTGCGGGGTTAGAGGATGTTTAAGGGGCTTCGGGGGGTTTAGCACTTCGGAAAGTTTGCAGGGTCTAGGGGTTTGGGCTTTCGGTCTTTAGGACTTTTTTTTGGGGGGGATCTTTAACCTTGTGTACCTAGACCACCGCATCATAAACGCCCCTTTCCGAACTTGTTTTAACGGAGCATTTGTGGGTCTTTTCATGCACACCAGGCTGTCCCCGTTCTTACACGCATTTTTCACCTAAACCCTAAACCCTAAAAACTCTAAATCCTAAACCCTAACCCTAAACCCTATATGCCCTAGACCTAGTCCACCGTTCTTCCACGCTTTTTAGGGTTGAGGGCATAGGCCGTTGCCAACAGTTATAAGTCCTCGCGGCCGAGTCGCTGCCCCCAGTTCTGATCCGCGGGGTTGCGCCCCAAAGAGAGCCTGGCATTCGGGTTTAGGGTTTAGGGTTTAAGGTGTAGGGTTTGGGGTTAGGGAGGGTCCATGTACTTCCAAACTTTGGGGGCCCCGAGGTCATGCCTACTGCCGGAGAATGCCATGAGGGGGCCGTTTAGGGTTTAGGGTTTAGGGTTTAGGGTTTAGGCTTGTCATGACTTTGGGATGCTACCCCTTACACTAACAGTCCTTAGCAGGATTGTAATCGGGGGGACTATACGCCTTATTGGAGTGTTAGTATACGGGGGAACATCCCGAGTCATAACCTAGAAAAGACAAGGTGTTGGGTTCTTAAGGCAAAGATGACCCTTCTGGGCATATAGACAATGAGGGGGGGAGCTAGCGAATGGGATGCTAGTTTAGGGTTTACGGTTAGGTCCAGGTTTTGGGGTTTACATGGTTTAGGGTTCAGGGTTCAGGGCCCAAAAGACATGTGTTTCAGGAATCGGTACCATGCATAGAATGTAGTTGCTTCTGGGGCTTTGTCTATTCACCGCACAGCATGGTCCCCTCAAAAGGTACTACATGAGAGCCTTCTGGTAAAAGATACCCCCCCCCCTACCCTTTATACGGAGGAAGGTATATGCCTTGCCTCGCTTTGAATGATCGCGGTACCCTAAACCCTAAACCCTAAACCCTATAAACCCTAAACCCTAAACCCTATGTAAACCCTAAACCCCTAAACCCTACATGTCAGACAACACCCTAGCAGCTGTCCTTCAGAAGCCGAAGGGTGGTACCACAACCCTGAAATCCAAACTCCCAACTACAGCGAATCGATTCCGCAACCTTCGTATAAACCCTCATAAAGGGTTTAGGGTTTAGGAGTTTTTATATGACCTTAATTATGAAAGCAACCCTGTACGCCCTAAACCCATAATCTTCTAAAAACAACCGAAACTTTAAGTCACCCAATGCCGTTAACCTATTCCGCGTGCAATCAAGGCTCGACGTGACTGAGCCGCGTAGTAGGCCAGACACACTGCGACCGTTGCCTTATGCACAGTGTCAAAGAACCATACATGAACATGGCTTCAATTTCTCTGCCAAAACCGACCGATATCCGGACAGTGGTGGAAAAAAACACCTGAACCTTGAGACGCCTCAGGTGCGCCCTGCAGGAGGAGGACACTAAAAACTAAGAGCCGTGTAGGGTTGGAGGGGTTTAGGGGCCACTTCTCTTGGACAGAGCTGTGGCATGTTGTGGCAAGGCCTCCCCGGCACTGTGGCGTGAAAGGTTTAATTGCTGAACAAAGGCTGTGCGCAGGAGTCTGGGCAATTGTCTGCTTCAACCTGTTTCGCCTGCAAAGCCCACCTTGTCCAAACTGAAACCCTAAACCCTAGACCCTAAATCCTAAACCCTAAACCCGAAACCGCCAGGGCTTGTCTGCGACAGCCTGTTCCAGAGACTACTGAGCGAGTGAAGTTTTTGCTGCGACAGTGCATGGATGCGGACGGTTTAGGGTTTCGGGTTTCGGTGGAATTTCTGTGAGTTTTCTCCGAAGGTCGTTTAAGGCTCGATGTCATTCGTTGCTGCTGTTATGGTTGCGAGCACGACCCTTCTCACTCCGCTGGGCAAGCAACAGGTTCGGCGATGACTCCACCACGAATTTCCGCCCTGAAGCTGCGTCAACAACTTTGATATCAGCCCTCTCAACATGAATGAATAAGCCCACTATGAGCGATGAAGTAGTTAGTCTACCTCGAGGTTTGTCCAGCAATGCCCTCAAGCGACTTCGACCACCATCTGCTGAGCCAAAAGCATCGCTCTACATGATTCTGCTGCTGTGTTCTTCTCTGGTGGGTGCATTAGGCTACCTCTACGTGGAGGCCCGATACGCAGTGTACCTGCCGCTGAATTATCTTTGGGAGTGCTCTGATGTTTCTTTCCTGGCGACTCGTTGTGGTGTCCGTTTCACTTGAAATTGGCCTGTGGAGTGCATTTGGGCAAGACCTGATGCTCGAGTTCCGACTCTCCATGGAGGTCCTCAACTGATAGCCTTTCCTGCGTGAGGTCCATCATTGAGCTGACCATTTGTGGCTCAGTCCTGAGTTTGTACAGTGTACAGGGCTTGTGCAGTTTTCGGGGTTGCCATCTTCGGCCCCTTGCCCAAGGCAGCGTGGCATGCGGCATGATGTGCTTTGTTTGTTTTTTTGACGTTTCATTCATTGTTCAGCTGAGCTGCCACGATCTACTCCCTAGCTAGTAAGTGCGAGAACGCTCCTAGAAGGTGAACCATCCATTTCCACACGAGCTTTTGCCCAGCCACAGGGCGGGTGTGAGGCAAAGGAAAACAATAATGCGCTCCGGCATTCTGCGTGTTTGTGACACCTCAGGATGTATCTGAGTCAGGGTGCTGACTTGAGATGGTTGGAACTTAGCGCTTTTGATGAAATACACGAAACAGGCCCTTAATGCACCCCACACCCCCCCCCCCCCTCTCCGGATGGTACGAGGCACTGGAGGTGACATTCACCTCCTCAGCCAGGTTGTTGCCTCAGGAGGTTTGGGTTTGGGGTTTAGGGTTTAGGGTTTAGGGGATTAAGGGCTTGAGGGTTTAGGGTTTGAGGTTTTAGGGTATAAGGGTTTAGGGTGGGTTAAGGGTTGGGGATCTGGAAAGTCAGTTCCGAATGCAAGCAGGCACAAAACCCTCTTGGCCCTAACCTACTATTTGCACAAGAACCTTCCCCCAAAAGAGATAATCACCCCCTATGTTGCCCTTATAAGGAAGAATGTATTTATCTTTTGGGGAGGGTTGCTTAAGCAAATAGTAGTAACCCGTAAAAGTGTTTAGGGCTTGGGGTTCCCCAACCCTAAACCCGAAACCCTAAAGGGTTCCCAAATCTGAAAGCCAGAGAAAAGACCCCCAAGCGTCTAAAGACTCAAAGCTAGGTAGCAAATCCCAGCTTGCACGTTGCTGCACGTGGGTCGCTCTCTGCGACTTAGGATCCTTTTTGTGTCCTATATATATATATATAACCTTAACCCTAAACCCCGAACCCCGAACCCCGAACCCCTAACCCCTAAACCCTAAACCCTAAACCCTAAACCCTAAACCCTAAACCCTAAACCCTAAACCGCACCCTTAAAAAGAAGGACCCCCAAGAGGGAACCTTAACTTCGAGAACTAACCCACATTCAGGTTGCCCAGTAACCTGGGATGGAAAAGGGTGCCCTTATTTTGCTTAAAGGGGTTTAGGGTTTAGGGTTTAGGGTTTAGGGTTTAGGGTTTAGGGTTTAGGGTTTAGGGTCTAGGGTTTAGGGAACATAAACCTACCAAAAAGGGAATAAGGGCACTACTGGGCATCCTAGACATTCTGCTTCCGCTGAGCCGATCCTATCGGGCAGGGCCGTCGCCGCCGAAGCGAGGATCGCCCCAGGTCACCACGGATCCTCAAATGCTGAGCCCTAAACCCTAAACCCTAAACCCTAAACCCTAAAAAAGTGTACACTTTCAGTTCTACAGCGGAGTATAGTATCCCAAAAAAGAGAGTAAAATGTACTCATTCAGCTACCAAGGATCCATCATCCAGGATTGCAGCAAAGGCAGAGTCAGAAGCTTGGATGTACTGCACGTTCTTCAGACGATCTTGTACAGCACTGCTGTCACCACCATTAAGATCATCCTTGGGGTTCGCGCCCCAGGTCACCACACATCCACTGCCAAGGATGGCAGAGAAGGCTCCGTAAGTAGCTTGGATGTGTTGCACATCCTTTAGGTGATCCTGCACAGAGCTGCAGTCGCCACCATGCGCGGCATCGCCCCAGCACACCACAGACCCATCGGCAAGAATTGCGGCGAAAGCTCTGTCAGAAGATTGAATGTGCTGCACATGCTTTAGGCGATCCTGCACGTAGCTGCAGTCGCCACCATGCGCGGCATGGCCCCAGCACACCACAGACCCATCAGCAAGAATTGCAGCGAAAGCATCTTCCGCAGACTGGATGTGTTGCACATCCTTTAGGCGATCCTGCACAGAGCTGCAGTCACCACCACGAGCGGCATCACCCCAAGTCACCACAGACCCGTCGGCAAGAATTGCTGCGAAAGCTCTGTCAGAAGATTGAATGTGCTGCACATTCTTTAGGCGATCCTGCACGGAGCTGCAGTCGCCACCATGCGCGGCATGACCCCAGCACACCACACACCCATCCGCAAGAATTGCAGCGAATGCTCCACGGGAAGATTGGATGTGTTGCACACTCTGTAGGCGATCCTGCACATGTCTGCAGTCACCACCACGCACGGAATCGCCCCAAGTCACCACAGACCCATCGCCACGAATTGCAGCGAAAGCTCTGCCAGAAGATTGGATACGTTGCACGTCTTGCAAGCGATCCTGCACGTAGCTGCTGTCGCCACCCTCCGCAGCATCGCCCCAGGTCACCACGGACCCATCGGCAAGAATTGCAGCAAAAGCATCTTCGGCAGCTTGGATGTGCTGCACATTCCGGAGCCGGTCCTGCACGTGGCTGCAGTCGCCACCACGCGCGACATGACCCCATGTGACCACGGACCCATGAGCAAGAATTGCAGCAAATGCTTCTGTAGAAGCTTGAATGCGCTGTACATTCTGCAGCCGATCTTGCGCCGAACTGCAATCGCCGCCAGCATTATTGGAAGCACCCCAGGACGTAGCTGATCCATCACCCAAGATGGCAGCGAAGCAGGCCGAGTCGTTCAGCAGATCCCTCGACCTCTTCGAGGTTGCAACTTGAGTTGGCGCTATGTGCAGAGTCAGTATGTCGCCATCCTGAACCGGTGCTCCTGTAAGCGAGCTTGTTCCGTCAAGGACATCCCCGGAGGAGTTCAGCAGCCTCCCTTTCCCAACTCGCAAGGCCGTCTGCGCACGCACATTCAGCTCATCGACCGAAGCATCTGCTTCGATTTCCTGAGTTGCTGAGTTCATAGAAGCCCACAAAAAAGTGTGCACTTTCAGTTCTAGAGGGGATGATTAGTCTCCCCACAAGAGTAAAGTGTACTGATTCAGCTACGAAGGTTCCACAGTCACAGACTTCCCGCTGATGAGATGCACGTCAACGGAGATTGACATGTGGTCGTTTAGGGTTTAGGGTTTAGGGTTTAGGGTTTAGGGTTTAGGGTTTAGGGTTACAAAGGGGCCTTTTTTGGCACCACTGGGCCGGCTTCGGCTTTTGGGCTTGAGGGTGTTTAGGGTTTGGGGTTTGGGGTTTAGGGTTTGGGGTTTGGGGTTTAGGGTTTAGGGTTTGGGGTTTAGGGTTTAGGGTTTGGGGTTTGGGGTTTAGGGTTTACGGTTTAGGGCTAGGAATGCTTGAGGCTTTTGGGTGCGGACGTGCCGGGACGGTGGGCTGGACTTAGGGCTGAGGGTTTAGGGGGTTTGGGGTGTAGGGGGCTGCAACCCTAAACCCTAAACCCTAAACCCTGAACACTTTTCCCTAAACCCTAAACCCTAAACCCTAAACCCTTTTCCCTAAACCCTAAACCCTAAACCCTAAACCCTAAACCCTGGGGTGAGTCTCCAAGCTTTAAGACCGTGGTGGCTGCGTCACTTCGGATGCTGCACGAGTCAGTCGGGCTTATAAGGATTCCTGAGCTTCGGATTTGTCACCACCTGTTGCAGCCGCCAGGAATTCAGGCATCTAGGGTTTAGGGTTTAGGGTTTAGGGTTCAGGGTTTAGGGTTCAGGGTTTAGGGTTTGGGGCCCCTCAAGAAGGGGGAAGAAAGTGGCCCTCTCCGCCCGAAACCCTCCCGCCATCCGCGGCAAATGCGTGGGATTTGGGGCGCGGGGGCTTCCGGTTCGCAACCTCACTGCGACTTCGCTGGTTGTTTCTGTTGCTGGTGGTTGGCTTGGTGGCACAGACTGCAAATCCTGCACATTGTGCACCTCCGGAAGATACGACTGCGGATCGCCACAAGAATCGGAAAACAAAGCTAGAATCAAGAGTAACCCGGGAACAAAAGGGTGCCCTTTTTTGCGTAATGGGGCTTATACGGGAACCTAAGCCACAAACAAAGGCAACAAGGGCCTACTCTGGGTCCTAGACAACTCCCTAAACCCTAAACCCTAAACCCTAAACCCTAAACCCTAAACCCTAAACCCTAAACCCTAACCCGAAACCCTACCAAACGCCAAGGCACCCAGCGTAAGGAGCTGCAAAGCGGCCTGCCAAGCCAAAGAAACCGTCGTAGCAAAGCGTCCGAACTCCAGGAAATATTTAATATTCGCTATCTTTCGCCATGTCTTATATATATATATGTGTGTATATATATATGCATAATATACATATATGTACACACACACACTTGATATTCACTATATCCGCTTCGGCCGGGCTTCGGGATTTAGGAACCTCTGCAGCTGGGGCATCGCCGGCGAGCGAGGGCAACGCATCCGAGATCTGCCGCCAGTCCTGAAGCTTCGTGTGTGGGTTTAGGGTTTAGGGCTTCTTGATGCTTAGTCGTTTAGGGTTTAGGGTTTAGGGTTTAGGGTTTGGGGCTTCTGGGCATTATAGGCTTTGTATATAAGGTTTCGGTTAAACCCTAAACCCTAGGTGCTGAAGCTTTGTCTGTGGGTTTAGGGCTTCGAGGTGTCAATGAGGTTGTAAGGTTTATAGGGTTTATTGGGTTTATAGGGCTTCGGGTTGGGATGCTCCCCCTTCTAGTGACAGTTCTTGATAGGGATTCTATCGGTTCACGGGTAGTTATAAGTAGGGTTTAAAGCATCCTAAATAGGGTGATACGTACAGTGCCATACTTTAAAACTACCCATGAATTTCCAAGTGAAGCTTTGTCTGCGGGTTTAGGGCTTCGGGGCCTTCTTGGGGTTGTAATGTTTAGAGGGTACGTCCATGTATAGGGTTTACAGGGCTTCTGGGGTTTGGGGGTTGCCGAAACCTACTATTTGCTAGTTCTTAATAAGAACCCCCTCCCCGCCCCCCCCCCCCCCCCCAAAGAAAATCACAAACAGCCCTATATATATATATATATATATATATATATATACTGCTTAGAAGGACAATACAGGGATCCTGAAGCTTTGTCTTTGGGTTTAGGGCTTCTGGGCCCCTAGGCTTTCACTAAACCCTGAACCCTACAAAGCCTATAAACCCTATAAACCCTATAACCCTACCGGCGTAAAAGCCTATAAGACCTTTAAGCCCTATAATCACTATAATCACTATAACCCTATAAGCCCTACAAACCCTATGAGCCCTATAAGCCCTGTAAACACTATAAACCCTAAACCCATTGTGGCCCTACACTTGGGTCCCTAAACCCTAAACCCTAAACCCTAAACGCTAAACCCTAAACCCATTGTGGGCCCCCATGTGGCCTCCTCAGGGTGCAGGGTCCTTATCTGGCGGTTTAGGGTTTAGGGTTTAGGGTTCAGGGTTTAGGGTTCAGGGTTTAGGGTTCAGGGGGCCAGGAATCGAATTAGGGACCCATACGGTATGTATGTATATATATACATAGATACATGTATATGTATCTATATACTTAGGCGCTACAGCAACTATAGAGGAAGGCCTCAAGTGTACACTGAGGCACAAGGCTCCCTCTAGGTAAGGTGGACTTGAGGCCCCCTGCTGAACTATTGGACTTGAGGCCCCCTTGCTCTAAACCCTAAACCCTAAACCCTATATAAGGTTTAGGGTAAAAGTATATACTTGGGCCTTGAAGGCGTTCCTATTTAGTAGCTTTGGGGCCCAAGTATACACTACAAGGTCCTTCTTCTCAGGGCCCTCTTATTTAGGAAGAAAGACGATAATTTAGAGAAAGCACCATATGGGTACATGGACCCTTAGGGACGCTCAAACCCCGCCAGCTAGATCAAGATCAGGCCCTCACAGAGGCCAAGGCATGCACGCGCAGTTTTCAGGTGAGCCTTCTTTGGCGTCACAATCCGCTTAGACTACTCATGCCACCTGGAATGGCAGTTGGGCCGCCCCACCCGAAGAAGAGTTGGACTAAACCCGCCACGACGCCAAGCACGCCGCCGGCAAGGATGAGAATGATCTCATCCTCTTGGAAAACCTTGAAGTCTTGAAGTAGCGCAGGAATCATCGCAAGGGTGCCCTAACTTCGGGGATTGGCTACCTTTAGAAGGGAACCTAGAACCCGAAAAAACTGGCAAAGGGGCACCATTGGGCATACTACCATAGCTACTCTTCAGGCAATATGAGACCACAAGCCCTTTTGGCATTCATGTTGTCCCCAAGCTACCCTAAACCCTAAACCCTAAACCCTAAACCCTAAACCCTAAACCCTAAACCCTAAACCCTAAACGACCCAAAAAGGAGGCTGTCAAGAGACAGGGTGTAGCAAGCCTTCGAACTCTTTTGGTGACAAGAGCTGGAGCCGGTGGGACAAAGTGGCCTCGATGCCCAAGGCCTCCGCGGCGTAGACGTGGGCCTGTAGGGTTTGGAGTTTAGGGTTTAGGGTTTAGGGTTTAGGGTTTAGGGGTTTAGGGTGTGGGGTTTAGGGTTTAGACGTGGGCCTCATGGCTCTTGGGCTCCTTCGCCAGCTTTCCTCGGTTGGGCCGATACTAAACTCCTCCGAAAAAGAGGCTTTCCTAGTTTAGGGTTTAGGGTTTAGGGTTTAGGGCTTAGGGTTTAGGGTTTAGGGCTTCGGGTTTAGGGTTTAGGGTGAGCCTCTTTAAACCGAATTCAGGGCTAGGTTGGACCTACTATACCTCTCTGAAAAGAGGTGTTCCTGATATATGATCCTCTTTAAACCGACGCGACTTCAGGGGAAATATGACAATCTCCCAAGGGCCGACCAAGTTTCTTAGCCCGCTGACGGCGGCAGCCACAACCGAGTCCGGCACGATGAAGGGGACGTTGGCCCGAACCAGAGCCGCAAACTCGCGCTGCCTCTGTCCGTCGCAGAGGCCTTCCAGGACACGCGGGGGCGTGAGAACGCGCGAGGCGATGAACTCGGCGAATTCCACCGAGACCTCCGGCTGCCGCATCTCGAACATGCCCTGGAGAAGAAAGGGCCCCACCATCACGGGCTCCACGGGTTCGAAGATCATCTTCCTTGGGGAATGAGCCCTGAAATTGGGGTCATATACCCTATACTACTATAATTCCTACTACCAGTAGGGTATATGAACCATAAACCCGTTTAGGGTTCCTTTTGTCCCCAAGGTTCACGGCAACCCAGTTCGTCACGTAGCCTACGACTGCCCCGGCCACTGGTAGCGTCCAGGCCCTTGGCACATGGGCCCAAATCCTTGGTAGCCCGGTAGCCATATTATGCTAAGGGGGCAGCCTTTATCGGGGGGTTTGGTTCCTGTATAAGGAAACCTTGTAGCATAAGGGGGCACCTTTTCCGGGGTTGGTTTCTTTGTCAGGAAACCTTGCAACCCCAAACCCTAAACCCTAAACCCTAACCCCTAAACCCTAAACCCTACACCCTTTTGTGGGGGGTGTGGCTACTTTATGAGGAAACCTTGTATCCCCCACAAAAAAAGAAACGGGCACCACTGGGCTTCCCAGAATCCACATCTGGCCAATGCCAAGGAGGAAACCGAAGTAGAGGCCTGAGATCACCTTGGCAGCCCAGTAGCCGTGTTATAATAAGGGCCCTAAACCCTAAACCCTAAATCCTACACCCAAAACCCTAAACCCTAAACCCTAACCCCTAAACCCTAAACCTTACACCCTAAACCCTATAAACCCTACACCCCAAACCCCTCTTTGGGGTTGGTTACTTTGAACAAACAAGGACAAGGGGACCGCAAGGCTACCGAGCCGCCAGGAAGTCCAGCTCACGGCGGCCCACTCTCTGAAAGAGCTCCACAAGAACCTTTGGGGGGGGGGGGGGGACGAACTATGAACCCTGCTCGGGTTCAGGGTTTAGGGCTTAGGGCGCGCCAAACGGAAGCGCGCTTTGGGAGCGCGCTTTGGGAGCGCGCAATAGTCTGCAGACCTACCCGCCCCAAGACCACCCACTTACAACTTTCAAGGAGTTAAGACCTTCTTTTGTTTACAAAGCACCACATGGGTCAGCACTCACGCCCTTTTGAGACCTCCACACGTGCGTGGACAGCTTGGGTTGGCGCAAAGGGGCTGTGGCCAGGGAGACAGGGCCGGAACACAGGGCGAAGGCAATGCGAACAACTTGGGTTGGCGCGAAGGGGCTAAGGCCAGGGAGGCAGGGCCCAGGGGCCAGGAGGGCGGACAACTGGGTTGGCGCGAAGGGGCAAGGCCAGGGAGGCAGGGCCAGAGAACACAGGACGCTGTGCGGACGGTGGGCAAGGAGGCCAGGCCATTGCCAGACCAGCCAGGTCAGGGCCAGGGCCAAGGGCCAGGGGCCAGGCCAGGGCCAGGGCCACGTCCTCAGGGGAGCAAAGTGCGCGGGCAACCTGGGTGTAATAGTGACAACTGCTGACTCGGCCTGTGCTTGCCTGGCGGGTAAGCCAGCCTGGAGGCCAGCTCGGTCGCCCGCATGGGGCTCCCTAAACCCTATGCCCGAAGCCCAAAGCCCAAAGCCCTTAACCCAAAACCCTAACCCCTTCACTGGATCTCCCAAGGAGCCCGCACGTCCCGGAGAAATGCATCCGTCACCACCTCCTCAAGGTCGAGAACCTCTGAGATGTCTCTCTGCAGTGCGCGCACCACCCGACAGAGTGCCCAGTGCCTTGAGGGCCAAAAGGAACCTTAAAAGGGTCTAGGTAGCTCTCCGTAAACCCTAAACCCTAATTAAACCCTAAACCCCAAACCCTAAACCCTAAACTACTGCCTTACTAGGATCTACAGTATTAGTATCGGGTCATATGAAACCATCTTTAGGGTTCATGTGGTCTCCAAGGTGCAGGAAAGGCTTCAGCAACAGAGCCCACGCCGCACCGTTGGGCGCCTCCTGACGGATGGACTCCTCAATGCCTTGGGGGGGACCACATGAACCCTGAAATGGGCGTCATATACCCTAGTTTAGGGTTTCGGGTTTAGGGTTTAGGGTTTAGGGCTACTACTGTAATTGACTGTAATTCCTGTGAAGGTTTATGAACCATAAACCCTTTTATGGCCCGTTCCGCCCCCAAGGTGCTTGGCAGGATGAGGGCGGCAAAGTGTGGCGCGTCTAGGCGCGAAAAGGCCTCAGGGAGGCTCAAGAGCTTGGCTGTGACAATGTCCGTGAGGCGCGCCGCCATCCTTGGGGACGAAATGAACCCTAAAGGGGTTTATGGTTCATATGCCTTAATAGGGATTATAGTAGTATAGGGTATATGACCCCAATTTTAGGGTTCATTTGGTCCCCAAGGATCACGTCGGCTTTCGTGGGCACGACGCCCTGCCAGCCAATAAGACCATAAGGAACATGCTTCTGCCGGTAGAGGTCCACGCCGGCGTATTCTATGGGGTAGAAGAGCATCTTCACGCTGACCCAGTTTGTGAACCAGCCAACAAAGGCCGCAACTAAGGGAATTGTCAGGTATGCCACGGGCCTTGCCCGGATCTGCGACCAGCCAAGCGGCACTACTGTAGCAGTCCGTTTGCCGCCCAATCCTTGGGGACCAAATGAATTCAAAAACTGGGGGTCACATACGCTATACTACTATAATTCCGATTGAGGTCATATGAAGCCCTAAACCCTCAACCCTAAACCCTAAACCCCAACCCTAAACCCTAACCCTATGTAAAGCCACCCTGGTACCACAACCAAACTCCCATCTACCGGGAATCGAACCCTTTTAGGGTTCATAATTCAACGCAAGGATCCTGTGGCCCAAGGTAGGGAGGGACGGCACCCCGCCAGCCTCCTGAGGAGATCTCGTGCTGCGAATGAGCTGGTGTTAAATGCCCGATTGATACCTAGGCTGGCCCAGTTTAGGGTTTAGGGTTTAGGGTTTTGGGGTTTAGGGTTTAGGGTGTTTCGGGATCCTCTTAATCCGAATCAGCGAAAATACACAAGGTCCCAGTGGCCTACCGAGATGCATTGACGCCGTGGTGCTGCATGTTGTCGCAAAGCTACCTTGGAGTACACGAAGTGGCGGTGACTCCACTCACGCGCCGCAGGGCGTGCACGCAGGCAGACTGAGAGCAGCATCTACCCCTAAACCCTAAACCCTAAACCCCAAACCCTAAACCCCAAACCCTAAACCCTAAACCCTAAACCCGAAGAGACCCGAACCCCGGCTTGCAACTCTGAGCCAATGCTCTGCAGGTCGAGCCCATTGGGAAAAACCGAGCCCGAAAAGGTTTAGGGGTCTGCTTATGGCTTAGGGTCCCTGACGCCTAAACCCTAAAATATAAACCCTAAACCCTAAACCCCTAACGGGGGGTTGTTCGCTCCCCAAGACCCTGCCGGAGCTGCGCTAAATCGCTAAACGACATCAGATTGTGGATCTGTGGACTGACATGGCTCAGGTGCCCCGCTCCAGCTTAGTTGTATAGTATACAAAGTATATATATATATATACAGATATAGATATGGGTATTTCCAAAATAGGGTAGCCCTCTTAAATTACACCCCCCCCCCCCCCCCCCCCCCCCCCCCCCCCCCCCCCAAGAAGGGTACCCCTATTTTCGAAACCCCCCCATATGCATGTATCATATGATGCGTGTCTGTGTTTGAGATGTATGGGGTGTGGCGTGTGGCAAATGGCCGAGCAGCTAATCGTCCCACGTCCAGCTGCTCCAGCGCGAGATCTATCAGTTTATCGAGCTTCTCAGGGCCACCTGGCAGAGCTCCGACCGAAAGCCAAATCATATCTTGGCTACACTCAGAAGGGTAGCTATAAATTAAATGTTTAGCTGCCTTGTTCAGAAACCCAACAAGCCCAAAAAGGCTAAAGATCTAAAGTTACAGCAAAGTACCACAAAGATATCCCTAAACCCAAGCCCCAAACCCTAAACCCCACCTGGGACCCTATATACCTACAGCTTTAAGGGTTATGCCTACTCAATGGGGGGGGGTACTTACTAGGACCCTGTAGGTAAAGGGTCCCAGGTAAACCCAAACACACGGCCAAACCCAACCAAAACGCATCGGCAGCTGTACACCTATAGCACCCCGGGTGAGCACACCTGGGGATCAAGTACACCTCAAAGCTGAACATTAGCACACCATGTGATCCCCAATTTTGCGTTTCATGTCTTCAGAAACATCTGAGCACTTTGGCGCAACCCTAAGCCCTAAGCCCTAAGCCCTAAGCCCTAAGCCCTGAGCCCTGAGCCCTGAGCCCTGAGCCCTAAGCCCTAAGCCCTAAACCCTAAACCTGACCCTAAACCCTGCACCCTAAACCCTACACACTAAAGTGGTTCGAGGGTTGGGTGTTCCCCAACCTCAAGGCCCAGTTCTCTGGGGTGTTTAGGAAGTCAAGTACCCCAAAAACTGGGACACGGTAAACACCTCTTGGTATGTGCAATGAGAGCCGGGATTCGCCTAAGGAACTTTCAAAGCCCCCCCCCTCCAAAAAAAAATGATATTTGCATTGTGTTAAGTGTTGTAGCCAAAAAACAAGAAAGGGAACAGGGCTGACTTAATTCAACAAAACCTATAATCCCTGCGCCCACGCCCAAAAAAAGTCAAAGCCGTAAGCCCGAAAGAAGGTCAAGAACCCGAAACTGTAAGGCCTAGAGCCTAACTCCTAAAAGCACCCTGAACCCTGAACCCTGAACCCTGAACCCTGAACCCTAAACCCTGAACCCTAAACCCTAAACCCTAAACTCAACAGCCCCTCTCCTGGCCTTCTTCCAGGAGGAGCTCTGAGAGCCTCTGCACCTTGGAGCTGGAAGCTGGCTAAACCCCAAACCCCAAACCACAAACCCTGAACCCTGAACTCTAAACCCTGAACCCCAAACCCTGAACCCTGAACCCTGAACCCTAAACCCTAAACTCTAAACCCTAAACCCTAAACCCTTCAAACCCTTCAAACCCTTCAAACCCAAAACCCTAAACCCCAAACCCGAGGATGCCCACTAAGTACTTGGAGGTTCATGGCACTTATTCACCAAAATATAGCTGTGCTTCTAACTGTACTTATTAACCTTAGGGTTTAGGGTTTAGGGTTTAGGGTTTAGACTGTACTTCTAACCGTCCTTATCACCATCTTAGAGCACTTAAGGGGCTTAGAAGTACAGTTATAAGTACAGCTATAACCCTACACCCCAAACCCAAAACCCTTAACCCTAAGGTTGAGAAGTACCATGAACCTCCAAGTAGAACGGGAGGAGAAGGAAGCCCTATAGCCCGCAACAACTCACAACCTAAAACCTAAAGCCTAAGCCTTAAGCCCTCAAGCCCATAAAATCCTAAACCCCCAAAACCCTAATCCCGAAAACGCCCTAAACCCCTCTAGGTTAAACCCGAAACCCTAAACCCTAAACCCTAAACCCTAAACCCGAACCCCCCAGGCCCGAAGGCCCCCGACCGCTGGCTTCAAAACCGGGGAGTGCAGAAAGGCCACCTGGTTGAGGGTTTTGGGTTTAGGGTTTAGGGTTTGGGGTTTAGGGTTTAGGGTTTAGGGGGGTCCCAGCCTTTGGGGGTTTTCTAAAAGGTTTATAGGGTTTACAGGGTATAAGGTTTACAGGGTTTGTAAGGTTTATAGGGTTTACAGGGTAGAAGGTTTATGGGTTTGCAGGGTTTGTAGCGTTTACAGGGCTTGCAGGGTTTACAGAGTTTATAGGGTTTATAGGGTTTACAGGGTTTACAGGGTTTGTGGGTTTGCGGGGTTTGTAGGGTTTATAGGGTTTGAAGGGTTTGTAGGTTTTACGGTTCCTGAGGTAAGGGTTTGCGGTTTGCACAGTTTCTGAGCTTTAATGATTTATTGGGTTGATAGAGCTTTTAGGGCAGCATAGGGCAGATGGGGCATGTAGGGCTTATGGGGCTTGCAGGATTTATGGGGAATACTGTGTATTGTACGGTTTTTCGTTTGTTGTTTTTGCTTTTTCTGCTAGAGTGAACAGGCTTAAGGTGTGGGATGTGCTTGAAGCTGTCATTAGGGTATGCTTACGCCTAAGAATACTGATTGAAGGCCTTGAAGCACACGACGACAACAAAATGGGATGAAGACAGGTATGGTCCCGATCATGGACCGACCTTGGGATGTTCCCCCTTATACTAACAGTCCTTAAATAGGGCTTCTAGTAGGGGGAACTCTAATCCCTATTCAGGACTCTCAGTACAAGGGGGAGCATCCCAAGACCTACCCAACATCCAGAACTCGGATGCCTGCCCCAAGCAGTGGAATCCTTGACTGGGCCTTGCTAGCGTCTGCACCCTACGCACTCTTCACATCCTTACATACTACGCCTGCCCTGGCCAAGCTCTCACTTGTAGCCGTAAGCCCTAAACCCTAGCCCCTAAACCCTAAACCCTAAACCGTAAACCCTAAACCCTAGCCCCTAAACCCTAAACCCCAAACCCTAAACCCTAAACCCTAGCCCCTAAACCCTAAACACCAAACCCTAAACCCTAAACCCTAGCCCCTAAACCCTAAACCCCAAACCCTAAACCCTCGACCCCTTTAGCAACGCGCCCTCAACCTTCCACCCATGTCGGGGTCGTCATCCAAGTGAACCCGATAAGGGTCCATGTACCTAAATAGGGAATCTTTGGGCCTTGAAGTACTTCCCGTATAGGGTTTAGGGTTTAGGGCAATTAGGTTTTAGGGTTTTAGGGGTCCCAAGTATATAAAAGAATGACGTGCATGGACGCCTATGGGAATCCTGGCCAAGACGAAGCTCCTTGACCCATGAAAGCCCGTACACCCCCGACCCAAAACCCGACAGTTGGCACCATGGTCCCCTCAAAAAGGCTTAGGGTTAGGGTTTAGGGTTAGGGTTTAGGGCGGGGGGGGGGGGGTACACTTTATAGGGCTTAGTTGCATCAGATTCCGGCGCCCCCTCAAGCCCTTATAACCCAAATGAACCCCAAAATCGGGATCATCTGCCCTGTACTACACCAATCTCTTAACCACACACCCGTTTAGGGTTCAGCTGGTCCCCCCAACATGGAGGAGGTACGTGGTACTACACCCCTTGAATTGAGCCCACTGTGGTACCATGTTGAGAGTTTCCGGGACAGATCTAAGCTCACGCGAACAGTCATGCGAAGCTCGTGTCTTATGGATCACTGTAGGCCAAAAAGTGAGGGGCACAGCCTCGAAACCTCCGCAAAATACTCATTCAGAGCTTGCTGCGGAAAAAAACCTAAACCCTAAAACCTAAACCCTAAACCCTGAACCCCAAACCCTAAACCCTAAATAATGTTTGGAATGAAAGGGGGGGAGGGTGGAATTGGCAGAGTTCCAGGCTTTTCGGGGTTACAGGGCGGCGCGCCTTAGATTCCAAGTAAATGGGCTTCAACTCAGGCTTCGGGGCTTGTCAAGTGCTGTTGGGGGGTTTAGGGTTTAGGGTTTAGGGTTTAGG